TAAAAATGACTGAATAAAGTGAAAAAAATTTGTTGAAAAGAGCTAAAAATCTGGTGAAAACGGCCAAAACTAACCAACCTATATATAGAGATTTTTTGGGGGTATTTTCGTCAGAAGAAAAGCTAACGACTCATAGCAATAGCCGATCAAAAGGTTTGACTAACGGATTTAAGAGAAAAACTAACGGCCGGGTGTATTTGATGTTTTCAATTCACCACTAATGGCAGGGGGTATTTGATGTTTTCAATTCACCAGATGGTAAACGATACCTTTTGCATAGTACATGGGTGCAAAATGAATTTTACCCTGTAATATATTTTATGTATGTAACTATTATGTACAATCTTTTAAGTTATTGGGATGAACGTAAAATTAAATCCAATTCACACTGTATCGTTAAAAAGTATTTCGTCGAATTCTTCCATTCAAATGCAACCCAAATAATATGAACTAATATCTTATTAGGAATTTGATAATTTTAACTATAAATTTGAATCGAACTCAAAAGTCATTTTCTATTAGGTGATCTTGTTTGGTTGCTAGGTGACAGGCTTTATTAAATGACATATTTTTCAAATATATATAAATGTCATAGTGCATTGGAAATATTCTCATTAGTAGCCTTACTTAGATGATGCATTCTGAAATACGTTTTTCACAATTTTGGTATATATCAATAATTCAATGTATATTATTTCATCGTTTCTTTTTTTGTAAAGTTCTAACTTCTAAGTTCTAACATTTAATTGAAATGTGAATGGAATCAATAAAATAATAACAAATTGTATCAATAAATTACTCCCCTTATCCTTGCCTTAAATATCGAAATTTTATTTCATGACTTCTTACTATACTAGCAATTTTTCCCCGTGCGATGCACGGGCTATTATTTAAAAATAAAAAAAATCAGTTTAATACATAATAAGAAAATATAGTACATAATAAAATTTAATAATTTAGTATTATTCATATTATATAAAACATTAGTTTTTAAATATTGTAGATTAAGATTTATAATCCAAATATATAGATTACGATTTAACAAATCAAATTTATATCTTTACCTCTTAAGATTTGAAATATATTGATGAAAAATAGGAGATTGATAATTGTTGAAAATTATAGTAAAAAAATTATTTGAAAAAAATATTAAAAATAAATAATTACAGAAATACCATTAGAGTTTTTTTAGGGTTGCCCAGCGTTTCTTTCTTTTATATATAAGATATTGCCCAGCTACTTTCAGTAGCATTATAATTTGTTTTGATTTTGTAATTTATAGAGCAAATTTAAGTATTGGTTCGTGGGCTATAGTGATAAGATTGTGACTTCTTAAGTGTTGACAGCTTATGAAAATAATAAATTTGCTAGGTAAATTAAGATATTTGCTATAAAAAGAAAAAAGAAAAAAAAAAAGAAACTAAAAATCCAGGCTATTAATTGGGTAATTAGTTGTTGAATTTAATTTGACTAATGACCGTCTAAGTGCATATTTTCATATACATTTCACTTTAGTCATCAATCTATTTTTTTTCACTTTAGTCATCAATTTACATACACCAAGTGATTGATGCACATATCTTATAGTAAAATAATACAACGATTGAAATAAAGTTCATGTTTAATTAGTTTAAACATGAGATTAACTTTAAATTCAAAAAAAAAAATTGAATTTAAACACTAAACAATTTTAGAAAAAAATGAAACGATTAAGACTTTGAGACATAAACTAAATAAAATTAAAGTTGTGAAGATTGAATTATGGGTATTTATAAGTGAAAGTAATAAGTGAGAATTTTTTCAAAATTTCAAAATTCAAAAAATATCAAAATTCAATCTTTCTTTTAAATTAAATCATTTTTTTTTCAAAATTAAATATATATGCATTTGCTACTAGTCGAGATTTTTGATATTAATAATAGTCAACATGACAATTAATAATTTATAAAACATTAGTTATACAATTAGTATAATCGTTTTACAGTGTTATTTATATTTATATATGTATAGTTAGGATTATTATAACAAGGAATATATATATAACATAAACAAAAGGTGTAAAATGATTATAATAATGTTAAATAGATTATTAATTAACATATTTATTATTATTAAATAATTTTAATTAAATAATTAAAAAATATCATATAATATAATATAAAAATTGATCAAAGGACTTGAGATTAATCATTTAAATCAGACGATTCGATTCTAATATTTGAATAAAATGTAAATGTAAAAAAGGATTATATCATATGATCTACAATTTAATTCTTACGATTTTTACAAATTAAACTAATTATTAAGAAAGAAATTACATCATAATATTTTGATTATACTAATCATATATAGTGTTATTTTGTAAAGTAAGACTATTAATTGAAATGAGATATAATCTGTTTTTATTAAAATAAACATCATTTATATTTTTAAATAATCATCTTATGATAAGATACTCAAAAATATTAATAAGTTCTTGTCAACAATTGAGGTTAATCGATTTAAATTAATTGAAATGAGTTATAATCTATTTTTTTTAAATAAACATATTATTTTATTTTTAATTCGATTTTTTCACACTGTCGATTTTAATAACATAAGTGAATTTGTAATAAGTCAACGCATTTGTTTATATATTGAATTGATTCAATACTTTATATTTTTCAATAGTGGAGATTATATTGATATAGTAATTAATAATAGATGTTTTGAAGTATTGAACCGTGATTCTATATTTTTTTTAAAAGTTTCTTATATTGCATTTGTTAATTATTTAATTAAAATTATTTAATAATAATTAGGGTTAAGTACACTATACCCCCTTAAAGTGTTGGATAAGTAGCAAACACCCCCCTAAACTAAACCATGTAAAATTAAAAAAGAAATCAAAATTCAATCTTTCTTTTAAATTAAATCGTAATTATTTATATATGCATTTTTTATTAGGGGAGATTTTTAATATTAATGATAATGAACATGACAATTAATAATTTATTAACATTAGTTATTCAATTGTTATAATTATTTATAGTAATAGTTATAGTTATATATTTATAGTTAAGATTAATATTGCAGCAAGTAACTTTGTCCGAGTGGATAGTGCTCATTAATTCACTTGGACCACCCGGTTTCGAACCTCAGAAGCTCCATTTTTTGTGATTATTTCATCAAAGATCCAGGTGGACCCGACGGTCCTCCGGTCGGGCCTGCAGGTCTCGGATCCAAAAAGTCTGGACCCGAAACCGACCCGTACTTGGTCGGGTCCATGGTCAACGGGCCGGGACCGGGGCGGGGCGGGACAGTCTTCGGGTCGGGTCCGGGTCCGAGTGGATATTGCTCACTAATTCACTCGGACTACCCGGTTTCGAACCCCAGAAGCTGCATTTTTTGTGATTATTTCATCAAAGATCCGGTTGGACCCGACGGTCCTCCAGGACCGGGGCAGGGCGGGGCAGTCTTCGGGCCGGGTCCGGGTCAGACCCGGCCCGTGGCCATGTCTAGTTCGAACCGGTTTTTTTTATAAAAAAATAAATAAATAAATAAATTATTGAAACGGCTGGTGTGTGTGTGTGTTTCAGTGCGTTACTGCGTGAGAGAGAATGTATTTGTATTTGCCCACCCTAGCACACATATATGTTTAATCATATGCAGATCATTTCGTCAAAATTAATTCAAGTATAATTTTTAAAATTAATTATAAAGTCAAACAAACTTTAATATTGATAAAACGCGTTTATAATAATTACAAAAGAGTGTAAATTTTTCGAACCAAGTTTATTGACTCATAAGAGTCGATTTTGATAATTATTTCAATATATAAAAGAAAAAAACACTAGGCTCAATCTAGGAAATTTAATAACATATTTGGTAAAAAACAAAATTAATTTATGTAAAAAAATATTTGTTAAAAGTAAAAAAAATATATATTTGTTTTAAGTATTTTAAAGAAACTTCAATTTTGTGTAAGTCTTTGAAGTATTCTTTACACAATTTTTTTTTTTAAACTAGGTATTTTTTTTTTAACTTATATATAAAAGGAAATAAAAAAGGTAAGAACCGGCCAGTTCTAACCGGGAACCGTAAAGTACCGAACCGCAAAAAACCGGAAAAAATCGGTTCGGTTCCGGTTCCTCCAAAATCGGAACCGAACCGAACCGTGGTCATGTCTACCTGCGCTTAATATCTCCGTTTCTTGGATCAAATATTTTGTACGAGTTGAATCCTTTGAAAATTGAAATCTTGATTATATTTGTATCGTTATATGATTTTTATTTTCCACGAGCATATTTGTTTTCTTGGCTCGAACTTGGAACCCTAATCTCGTTCTTGAAATCTTGAACTTGTCATTTCTCTAGGTTGCTACGTTCACGGCAAATTCTTATACGTGATTCCTTGGCCGGACATATTCCTTGAACAAAATATCGAACTATATTTATTCTCAAATTATTGTCTTGAATGATTTTCGAGAATAAATATTTCGTTGGCTCGAACTTGAATCTCATGTTTATTGAATTCCTTGAGATCTTGATATACTCGCTCTTGGAATCCGATGTTGAACTTATTGTTCTTCTTGACTTCCATATTCACGATTATTCTCTCATTGGCCTGAATTGAATTCTCGAACATGTTCATTATCCTGAGACTTGATATTCGATTGTCATGATCATGACTTATTTTGTGAATGATTGACTTGATTCTTGATATTCCTAAAAGAAAAGATATTGATTCTTGAACCTACTGTCCCCACCTTGAGGACGCGATTGGGAGAGTTGGGCCCGAGGACCATTTTGGGAAGATAGATCGGGCAATATTGGGCTGATGATGACTGGTCTCCCAAATGGTACCTACTGATGTTTCGGACTCACGTTCGTTTGGAGTTAAATATTCTTGAGCCGGATCGGCATGTTTCGGATGTGCCTCTTGCTTGTTTCCGACCGAGTGGCCACTCGGGCGGAGTGGAGAGATAAGGATGCGATATGATTTTATATGTTGGGAGTTACAAGGTTGGAGACCCCACCAAATATTGGAGTGGAGCCGTACATGTTACACTTTTGTTAATGAAATTCTTGTAAAGCCCCTCGTTACATGTTCTGTTCATTTTCATCCTACTCCAGAATCATATGTTTTTCACCAAATCATTTGGACTTATGGTTTCTCCTTTATGATATTAATGCGCAGGTAAAACAAAACTTTATACCTAAATTTCCATAAGTTTTAGAGCTCGTGTAAATGGATCTTTAGATCTAGAATTTTTTAATAGAGTAAGTCGTGGAACCCTTTTTGTATAAGAGTATAAGACGATGATTATACATATAAATATTGAAGTTTAATGTTGTGAATATCGAATTTTTTTTGAGGAGCAGATTCGGGGTTATTGAATGTAATGCAGATTCATTGGAAATTCCTCCAAAGTCGGACGCAATCCGCCGTCGCCTCATCATTCGTGCAAATCGGCATCCACTTCGGGGTGAGATTTACTTATTTCAAAAATAGAGAGATTGTGGGATCGGAGGAGTGAGATATGTGTACGTTGAATTGAGGGACTGAACGTGTGCATCATGGAAAACAATTTCATTAAGTTGTTATCATTCCATCTACATCCTCAATAAGCTAATCATTAATTCAAAAACAAATCCAACAAAAGAGTTGAGATACATACATATACATACACATTTATATACTCTACAAAAACCGAGTAACATCCAACTCCAAAGGCTGCTTCGTAACACAGTAACCGGTTCTCGAGCAAGATCCGACGACTCTCCTCGTTCTTGATCTAATCTCCATTTCTTGCCTTTTACGAAGATTCTGCCGCTTTATAATGGCACTAAGTCTCTCCCTTCTGTAGTTACTGTTCAATGGAATAGGCATTGCATCTAATCCCATCAGTTTCCCGACAACCCCCGGTTTGCACCAAATCACACTCTCCCCGCCTACCACACATGGCAATTTCTTTCGGCTTCTTTCGAAATCGTCGTATTTTTTGGTGCAGCTTTGCATCAACTTTGCTGCTCTAATAGGGGCTGCAGAATTATTCGTGAAGGAAGACCGGTACATGGAATCTTTTCCGTCTAGAGAGAATCTAGGGTACTGATTCAGCGCGTTCCTCGCGCTCTTCAGTATGTCGGAGCTGTTCACGCACGACATTCTATGATGAAACTCGTTATTTTTATTACTATTATTGTTATTATTTTTGGCTATTTTCTGCTGCTCCTCCATCTCTAGCTGAAGAATCATTTCCTCCAAAGTGGGGTGGCGGCTTTTCTCTGGACGACCGCGTTCCGCCATGCACGTGGCGGTGGTGGTGCCGCCACTGACGAGGAGGTGGAGATTGTTCTGGTCGAGGGTGGAGGTGGAGCCTTCGCCATTGCAGAAGTTTTTGAAGCCTTTCTTCATCTTTGCTCCGAAAGAATTCTTGAGAACAAACAATGACATGTCTTTCATAGCTTGTTTTCTTACTTGTTAAAGATTCAATATGGTAGAGAAAATTAAAAAAATGAAGTACTTTTTGGAGTGGAGAGATGTATATAACTATATATGAAATAGAGTTTCTTATTATAAAAGAATTCACATGAAAATATGAAGAGAGGTTAGATAGAGGTGTTCACAAGTTTCCCAACTCCCTATCCCCCTTGAAAACCATGTTGATTGTTTTAATGACACTTGAAAAATACCTTCAATTTTCAAATATTCAAAAAAGAAGTACAACTTAATTACATAAAAGGAAATATGTCTTTCAGTTCACAAGCACAGAGTGACTACGTTTCATTAAATGATTCACCATACTATATATTTAATTCTTGCCTCCCTTCCACGTGGATCACCAACAACTACTACAAATGGGGCTGTGAACGAGCTGAGCTCGGCTGTTTTGACAGGCTCGAGCTCGAGCTCGAGTCCTTTTTGTCGATCTCGAGCTCATCGAGTATTTATTTTTTTTGCTCGAGCTCGAGCTCGAGCCCAAGCTCATTTCGGTTTTTTTTTTCTATTTTTTTAATTTTAAAAATTATTTATATTATAACAAAAAAAATAAAAATAAAAGGAAGGCTCGTGAGTTCATGAACTACTAAAAAAAACTTGAGCTCGAAAAAGTTGATTTTGAGCTTTTTTCGAGTCGGCTCAGCTCGTTTACCACCCCTAACTACAACTGCAACTGAATCCTTCATAATGTGATCCCCGCTGTTGCACAAGTGTACGCGAGATTGACAATGTTCATTAATGCTTTTTTTTTTTTTTTCCGAATAAATGGAGAAATAGGTTTCATGTGAATTTGCCTATGTGGTCAGGTCAATATTAATGAACCTGGACCACTGATTGATATACACTTGATTCAGTTTGATTTTGGCACTGAAAGTTAGGGAGTGAGATATATGTGTTTGTGAAACTGGCTTTTAAATGAACGATCGGATGCAAACAGATCGATCAAGATTCAGTTTAAGCTTGTTTCAGAATAGAAAACGGACTCGCGGGTCAGAATTCATAACAAACAAATGCAGTTCTCACAATTAGAAGAAGTAAGTGATTATAAATAATAAGATTTGCTCTCGTCTCAAATCATAAAACGTTAACCGAGTACAAAACTAATAATAAACTGCACATTAGCATCCAACGAATTTGGCATGATGACACGACACAACGTAAACAAGATAAAAAATCCCACAATAATATCTTGTTCGGAATAGAGGACCGTGGTGGCTATCGTGAAATTATACATATAAAGGCCAAGTAACAATAATGTACATATATATAGTGTGACAAAATTCGAAATTCACCTATGCGCTAGCTAGCTCGCAAACTAGTCATCCTGTGGGAGCTTCACTAGCTTTGACGAATCTGCCCTTGACTCTCTTCCTAGTATCGGCTCTTGCTTTTCTTGATTCATATCTTATATGCTTCTCGTACCTGGGCAAAAATGTCTCATATCAGAAAAATTGCATTCAGATTTATTTAATTTATTTATTTGATTTCGGAAATAGGGTACCTCCGTGTTTTCTTCTTTTCCATGTAACGTTGCATTGCGTTGTCCCTATTCTTTGCGAGAAGCTCGACATCCTCCTTTGTTATTGAAGGAGCAGCGGTGGTGGTGGTGGTGGTGGTGGTGGTACCTTCAGTTTTCATTAAAATGGAGTGATCCATGAACTGGATATCCTTCGAGCCACCGTAGCTTTTCAGTTTCTTCGGAAAACCCGAACATGGTACAGCTAAATTGTTGCTCTCCGATGTTGCGGTGGGAACCTGACTCGTTGTCTGGTTATTCGAAGCATTCTGCATTTCAACAAAAATTCAACTTTCAGAGCCGAAAAAGAGAATAAATATTACAGTAAATCCTTCAACACTAGACAAAATTATATTTTCGCCAAGTAATATTCGTCGAGACATGTAAAAAAATTTGAAACAGCGAGCGATGCTTACACTAAAGGGAATTATATTTATATCCTCATTCGCAATACAGTCGACTCCTCTTCTCTTCGACAAGGACGCTTCTTTCAGAATTTCTCCATAATTATTCATAGTGTAGAGCATGTCACTTCCGCCGTAGTCTATTTCTAGGTTGCTAGATTCGTCATTTCCCCTCAACTGTCCCAGATTGAAGTCCCAGATCTGCCAAACCAAACGCGACAATAATTATCAGATTACTACCGAATGTATTATTAATAATAAGACTTGAAAGAGCACAATACGAAAATCGACACCCACGAAATTGCAATTTGGAGGGCAGAACGAGATTCTAATAAGCTAACAAGAAAACAGAGTATTTAGAAGCATAAGCAAATAGAGCAAATTCAGAAAGTATAAAACTAAAGTTATCGGAAAGATGAAATACGACAAAACTCGCAGTTATAAACACTACATTAACCTCATTTGCGAAAAGATCCGAGTAAGTACGTGAGCACAACTCAGCAAATAATGCAGTAGCCATAGTTCTCGTTTCTTTCAAGTGCCCGAGTATAACAAATAAGCCAAAAATACGACAATTATTGTCTTCCTAAATATTATTATTTCAACAATGAGCAAAATTGAGTACTATAAACCTCCAAATTCACAAACAACGAATACATAGCCAATGTAAACAAATTGGTGCCTTAAAACCGGGTTTCGTGATAATCTGCCTTGAATTTGAATGAATTCATGCGACTTCTAATTCAAACACATCGAATCGAAGATCCAAAAGCAGAGTCAAAATACCGGAAATGACATGGATAGCCCACAACTGAAAAGAGTAGTTCAGTAAAAAAGAATCAACATTTTGAGCTTTTCTCTTAGACAGAAAAAGAACTAAAAAAAAAAAAAAACAAAAAACAGAGCATCTTCACCAATATGTAGAAACGAATCTGAAAAAAAAAAAAAAAAAAAAGCAGATCGAAACAGTACCTGAGTGCTGTGATCAGATGTGGTTGAGTTCCAGAAAATATCGCCTTCTTCCTTTGGATTCGCTGACGTCTGCATCTTCAGCATCGACATAAACCCTCCTCCATCCTGCTCCTGCTGCTTCTGCTCCTCGTACTGTTCACAGAAGTTATCCTGCTGCTGCTGCTGCCAGCCACCGCTGCTCGGAGTCCGCGGCCGCACGTCCTCACCATCGCCGCCGCCGCCGCCGCCATCCGCCAACAACTCCATCAACTGCTTCAAAATCACCTGCTTCTGCTTCCCGCAGCTCGGGCTCTTCTTCTTCATCAATTCACCGCCGCAATCCGAATAGATCACCGAATTTGCATTCGGCACCATCAGCTCCTCCAGCAACCCACCCCACTCATACGCCGCCGCCGCCGCCGCCGCGGCGTCGTGTTTCTTCTTCTTCTCCTCAATCTCCAAACCCCAGGCCGACGCCAAATCGAAAGCCGAGGGGCAACCGGAGAAGCCCTCGATGGGGCACCGATCGTGCGCGGCGGACGCGGCGCAGCCGCCGTGCGCATCCCAATCGCACTCCTGGCAGAGGACGAGGCCGTCGGTGGCGCATCGGACGGCGGCGGGCTCGGCGGCGCAGTTATCGCAGATCTGGGAGCGGAGATGCTTTTTGGAGAGGGCGTTGGCGGAGTGCACGTGCTGGTCACATGACAGGCAGAGCTTAGCACTGTCGGCGCGGCAGCAGAGTATGGCCGGCCGGTCGCCGCAGTAATCGCAGGCCACCATGGCCGAGATATTTAGAGAGAGAAAGTAGAGAGAGAATAATTCTTAAAATTTCTAAACGAGGAAAGAAGGTGGAGGAACATATGCTTTGATTGATAGTTGTTAAAAATATCTATACAGATTTGGAAAGTGGAGTTTTTAAACTTCAAACTACTTTCTTCGTTTAAAGTAATGTTAGTTGAATAAAATTTGCAGCAACTGGCAGATGAAGATGTGCTATTTATATACTCCTGTAAAATCAATTAGAAAGATTAAATAAATATATAAATGCAAATTCAATTCAATTATTCGATATTCAACTTGTGAGCATATCTTCGACTGAATTCGAACATCTTTTCCAATGTAATAATATATGCGTTCCGTTAGGGCTCGAGTTTAGGTCAATAATTAATAGAATATAACATGTTTTGTAAAATCTACCTAAAGTGAAATACATCATGTAGTTTAACACTGTTGATTTACACATAATAACACACATATGCATGATCATGTCTATGTGTGCTTAGTAGATAGTTATTTATGTACATCTACGGTGTAAAACCACATATTGTATTTCATCGGGTATAGGATCTCATAAGCCAAATATAACACATTTGTTTACTATTAATGTAGTCATGTAGTGTTCGTAAAAACTTATTTAAAAGTAGAAGTTATGAATTGTGAGTTAAGTTGGTTTTTAAGTGTTTGTTTATAAAAATGTGTTGAAAATTTTGTTTTCTATTCAGGTTTGTCAAACTTGAAAAACAGTTGCTACAAATTGACTGCAAATTTCTAAAAAAAAAATTAGAATATTGACTAAAATTTGGCAAAGAACTTGTGAAAGTTCTAGTGAACATGTGAGAATTTCTGAAAACTAACCAAAAAAAAAATGAATTTCCATAAATTGTCTCAAATGTGGCAGCAAACTTATGAAAACTAAGTAGTTTAACGAAATATGACAGTTAATTTCTGAAATTAGTTAAAATTTTAGGGATTATTAGCAAGATCCCTCATCTAGGAAAAGTAGTTAAGAAAACACCCCCTTCTAAAAATAATTAGAGAAAACTCTCTTATATAATATTCCACCAAAATTCTATTTTTATAATTCCAAAAATACCCTTAATTTCAAATCCCTAATCTCATTTTCATTTATCCCATATTATTTCCGATTCAGATATAAATTTACCCATAAATAAGGATCTGCTTTATTCCTATAGCCCTTTGCGTGGTCTTTTCATCGTTTTCTTTTGCATTCACAGAAAAAAAATATTGAAGCTATTTTCGTCGTTTGTTTCATTTTTTGTTGTCTGCTTATTAAACTCTTATATTTATGCACTTTTAATCTGAATGGTTTGCTAAGAAAGTTAGATTCGGTTATGGAGGAGTTCAGTGCGTTCATGGTGGAGAAGGCGGCGGCGGCAGTGGAGCAAGGATGGTGGGAGGCGGTGGTTAAGGAGGTTTCTCCAGTGGATATGGAGAATAAAAAGGAGGACGTGGGAGAATATGGATGCCGCTCCACGATCGCTTCGAACATGGAGGATTACAGTAGGAGTGTAACGAGGACGATAGTTGCTGGTTCGGGGCAGATGATTAGAAGGATATTGTGGTGTGGTGACGTCACTCTTGATAGGCTGAAATGGGGTGGTGATGGTGTGGTGTCACGGCGGCGTGGTGACGACGAGGAGCAGATCTAGGATTTTTGGTAGATCAGGCGAAAGACGGTGCGGATAAAGAAATTCGCGCAAACTGGACCCTTAATCGACTATGTATTTTTTTGGTAGTCGATTAAGCTTGATTAAGGTTGATCGACTATGTTCTGGCAGTCGATTAAGGTTGATCGACTCCATTTTTCTATTTTTATTTTGGATTTTTTGTTTATTGATTCCAAATGTATAAATCAATTATAATGTTTGTATATTTTTTGTTTTTTGTAAAATATAGTTGATTTTGCATTTGTTTTGCAATTGTGATTTGTTATGTTTAGTAGTAGATTCTTAATCGACTATACTTCATCATAGTCGATTAATATACCTGATATAGAAAAAAAAAATTAAAAACAAAAAAAAATTAAAAAATTAAAGATTTTTCTTAATCGACTATGAAGCATAGTTGATTAAGGCTAATCGACTATGCTTCATAGTCGATTAAAAAAACGGAAAAAAAAAATAAAAAATCGCTGAGCGCGTGACTCAGTGATGATGTGGCGGGCGGGGGCAAAGCTGAAAAACATAATGGCTCAAAATGGGTGTGAGCTTTTCTCAAATAGACTGAAATATTTTGGACCTCGCTCCATTAAAGAGCCCCAAAATTTTATGATGAAGTTTTGAAATTGTTAAAGATTGACGGATAACTTCCAAAATTGACATTGAAGTACTTAAAATTAGCTATGTATTTATATAAAATGATATATATATATATCTATACATATATATATATGAGTAAATTTATGAATATGAA